CTGAACTAAACACCTGCAGGAGCAAAGACCCGAGCGACTCAACTCAACGTGAGGATGAGTTTGAGACTGACAGTTGTTTGAGCCAATCAGATTTCATCGAGTTATGGGCGGGATCATATCACCACGTCTTCAGGACCTTCACGAAAACCCTGTGATAACAAATATAAACGAGATCACAGCGTCAAAAAACCCGCTGGACGCCTCGGGGACGTCTGAAAGAAAAAGAAGAGAAAGACCCAAGAACCGGAGCTCGGAGCCCGTGGAGTCTCAGAGCTCCGGTTCCCGGCTGCAGATCCATCCATGTGTAACAGGAGCAAATGATTATTAAACATTAAACAAATATATGAAATGAATGTGTGATTTGCTTCATTTTGGTTTGTTTTTTTTTTTATAATGATGTCATGATGGTCAGCAGTTGGTCCTAGTGAAGGTCCAGGGTCCAGGTCCACAGTCGGTGTCGGGGTACGGTGAGTTCTTGGCTCTGGTCTCTTACAGAAATGATCTGGTTCAACATTTGTGATTTGACCTTTTGGAGATTTCACTGTAAAGTTCAAAGTGATCAACAGAACTGTGACCTCTGACCCCATCTGAGAGTATGACATCATCACAGTCTCCAGCCTGAACACCGGGGCGCGGCTCGGGGCGCGGCTCGGGGCGCGGCTCGGGGCGCGGCTCGGGGCGCGGCTCGGGGCGCGCTCGGGGCGCCTAAACGACCACACACCTAAACACCCAAACGGCACCAATGGCCAAACTGTAGACGATCCAGGTCTGAGCTGAAACGTCAGAGCGATACTGAAGTCGTCGCACTTGTTTCTTTTATGACGTGGTTTTAGATCAAAACTGATTTACAAAGTCCCAGAACAGGACGCTCCTCAGGTCAGAGGTCAGAGGTCAGACACACGAGCGCTGTACGACGGAGTAAATAAAGAGGCAGAGACAAGAGTTTGGCCCAGAGACAGTTTAAGGCAGAATCGGGTCAAAGGTCAAACAAAAACACATTTATGACATCACTACATTTAATACAAGAACAAATACTGCCCCCTACAGGTCAGGACAGACGAGTCCCAGCGGAGTCTGCCCCCTACAGGTCACAGGAGACACTGCACTGGAGTCCAGGATTAAAGGCCCCGAGGATCTGAGTCACATGAGTCTGTACAGAGACGTGTCCGAGCGGCTCTGGAGTCTAAACGAGTCCTCACAAGTCCTCCGAGTCCAACAGAGTCCTCTGAGTCTAAAAGCGCCTTAAAGAGGAGGATTTACTTCTGTGGGGTAAATCCAAACGAGGAGCAGAGGTAAATACCCCTCTGTAAAACCCACAAAGGTAAATACTTCCTCTTCAGTGTTTTCAAAACGCCGCTTCAGCAGGTTTGGTTCCGTAGACGATATGCGGGGGGCAGTCGCGGCGTGGTCCTGCAGGGGGCAGACTCGCTCGCTCGTGTCCTCTCGTTTAAAGTCCACAGTCTGTGAGAAACCACAATAAATACGAGTTTAATAGAAAAACGTCCACAGATAAACGCCTCGTCTCTGATTGGTCACAGTGGTCCAGTTTAAAGGGGTGTGGTCACGGGGAATGGCTGCGATTGGGCCGAGCTGCCGTCAATCAAAAAAAAAAAACACCAACCACAATTCAGTCTCACGAGAATCCAGGAACGAAACCAGAGATTATAAAAACAGGAGGTGTGTCAGATGCCCTCCCCGTGTTCAGTCCGTTTGAGTTTCAGGAATCCGACAGTTTCAGTGCTGGTTGACAACAGTTGAAAGTGAAAGTAAAGTTGTTTTTTTTGTCCCGTGTGGTTTTGGTGCCACGTGGATTCGAGCTGATCCCTGACTGATAATTGACCTTTGACCCATGTCCTCGTCGTTTCTTCTCTCTGATCCTCTGGACTTGTGTTTGGACTGATTCATGTTTGACGAATCTTTAAAGTTTGTACGGAGGATTTTAGAAGGAAACAGAAACACGGCGACTGTTTGTCCTTTTTTCTGCTCCTCAGATCCTCAGTAGAAATTCTTCCTCATCCTCCTTACGCTGAAATCACGATTACAGACGCTGCACGTGAACGAATCGCTGAACGAAATGTTGAACGAATCGCTGAACGAAATGTTGAATAACTTGCTGAACGAATCGATAAATTGTTGAACGAAATGTTGAACAAATCAATGAACGAAATGTTGAATGAATCGCTGAACGAAATGTTGAACGAAATGTTGAACGCATCGCCGAATGCATTGATGAACGAATCGCTGGACAAATGGCTGAACGAATCTCTGAATGCAATGTTGAACACATCACTGAACGAATCGATGAACGAATCGATAAACAAATTGTTGAACGAAATGTTGAACAAATCGCCGAACGAATCGCTGTTGAAGTTTCCTGTCCAGAAGTGATTTCAGCGACCGACGCGTCATTCTAGACCGGGGTGGACGAACTACGGACCGTCGAACTTTAATAAATAATAATAATAATAATAACAGTAATGATAATCATAAACCTCGTTAAAGTTTTATTTTCCCTGCAATTCCGGAGTTTACCAACAGATGGTGCACTTTAGATCCAGTCGACTTCGTTGAGGTGCGGCGTTTTATGCCATTTTTTTACCTGTCTGTAAAGATGACTGGAGCTGTTTTCTACATTTCCCAGGTTATTTTTTTCTCTTACGAGGTGGATCACCAAAAAACTCCGTCCATCTGCTCCTGGTCCGGCTCTTCGGTCACATTTTAGAACCTTTGTGGCCCACGAGTCAGAAAGTTTGCCCAGCCCTGGTCTAGACCCTTTATCTGCTCAAGTCGCGCCATCGCTGGAAGGAATCTCCGAGAATCACCTAAAGTCGGGCGACACTGTGCGATTTTTGGTCCTTTTAGAGATGATTTTTCCCTCGTGCGACTGTTTTTTAGAATCGAGTTTTGTCTTAATTGTTTGTCGTGCTTCGTGTCGTAAACATGGAGTAATGAGAAACGATGAATCTCTCAGGACCAGCTCCTGAACCGTGGGTCGCAGGAAAATCAAACCTGTCTTGACGGTCGACGAGAATCCACGACCAGTTCACCGCAAAAGAAAGTCCGTTGATGAGGTTGCCAACAGAAGAAGAGAAGAGGAAAAGGAGCGAAGGCGAACTAAAGCCGGACGTAAACTGTGCGATATTTTCGATGTTTTCTCTCAGCTCCAGCCCAAATTCTACGAACAAATCTCAGGGTTTAAAAAGTTCACAATTGTGAACGACTTCGACAGAGAGAAACCCTCACGAGACGACTGGATTTCAAAAACCGGGCAACACTGTGTGATTTTTGGCCATTTTTGAGCTGATTTTTCCATCGTGCGACTGTTTTTGGATCGAGTTTAAACCTGGGGTAACGAGAATCGATGAATCCCTCACGACCAGATCCTGACTGACAATCATCGGTCGCAGAAAAATCAAACCTGTCTGAATCCAGTCGCCTCTCGTGAGGGTTTCTCTCTGTTGAACATGAATCGTGAGCTGTGAACTTTTAAACCCTGAGATTTGGTCGTAGAGTTTGAGCTGGAGCCGAGTGAAACCATCGAAAATATCACACGGTTTACGTTCGGTAATACAGGTTTGATTTTCCTGCGACCTATGATTCAGGAGCTGGTCCTGAGGGATTGATCGGTTCTCGTTACCTCATGTTTAAACTCAATCCATAGACAGTCGCACGATGGAAAAATCAGCTCAAAAATTGCCAAAAATCACACCGTGTCGCCCGTTTTTTGAAATCCAGTCGTCTCGTGAGGGTTTCTCTCTGTTGAAGTCGTTCAGAATCGTGAACTTTTTAAACCCTGAGATTTGTTCGTAGAGTTTTTGAGCTGGAGCTGGGAGAAAACATCGATAAATATCAAACAGTTTACGTCAGACTTTCGTTCGCCTTCGCTCCTTTTCCTCTCCTCTTCTTTTTTCGGTGACCTCATAGACGGACTTTTTTTCAAGGTGAACTGGTCGTGGATTCTCGTCGGGCGTCGAGACAAACTTTGGGTGAACTGTGATGAAGCAAAAGTTGGGAAAAGTCGCTTGAGTAAACGGCGTCTTGTGTCTGACGTGATCCCAGCGCGACGAAGACGAAACTAAAAAAAAACCCTCCGTACAAACTGGACCTGTTTTCGATGGACTGTGACACTTCGACGGTGTTTGGTTGGTGTGTTGTTTCTCTGGACCGAGCCTGGACCCCGTGAGACCGCGCGGTTCTGTTCGGTGTTTGGTCCGGTTCAGAAGGCACTGGTGGGTCCGAGCGGAGAGCCCCGGGGGTCAGGGGTCATCTGTGAGGTCAAAGGGTCACGCCGGGGTCAGGAGCCGGAGCTCGATAGCAGCAAAAGAACGACGGCAACCACCACACACTGAAACACAAGAGAGACCGGTTATAGACCAGGACCGGACCAGGACCTGACCAGGACTAAACCAGGACTAAACCAGGACTGGGCACAGACCTCAGGCTTCGCTGGCGCTGCTGCTCCGGTGCAGCTCTCTGATGCCCTGGAGGATCCTCTTCATGTGCCCCACTTTAGTCACTCCCAGATCCTGCAAAAGACCGGGTCAGAACCAGGACTGAGACAGGACTATGACAGGTCTACAAGAGGACTAGACCAGGACTAAACTAGAGCCCGACCGATATGGATTTTGCTGTGGCCGATATGAAACCGATATAATGGGAGTTGGAGCTGCCGATATAATCGCCGATATATTTAGTGATGTAAAAATTCACTGTAAATGTTGAATTGTTTAAAAAACTTAGGTTTGTCTCTGGTGGATTTTAAATTGGGTTTATTTAGGAAACATTTATTGTTCTTCTGACTCTTTACATCATATTTACAGACAGTTGGACTAATGGCATTTTTGCATCACATTCTAGACACTAGTGATGTTTATTCCAGTTCTTTTTAGAGAACCGGCTCTTTTGGCTCGGCTCACTAAAAGCTGCTGGTTCTTTTGGCTCCCAAGTGGCTCTTCAGATTGTTTTGTTGCAAGCAGGACTAAAGCACGTCTAAAGCAGGACTGAATCAGGACTGAACCAGGTCTAAACCAGGACTGAAAAAGGACTAAACCGGGACTTATTTATTTTATGCTAAACTACAGTCAAATATGCTCGTTTTTTTTATTTTTATTTTTTTTAATCCTACGTACACGCAAATTTCTCAAAGTTTCGTTTTCAGCCGCTGCTGCTGTCAAACCACGAATCACACGGCGTGAAGAGAAAAAAAGTGAGAGAAAGAGAAAACACGGCTCCCAATAAGGATCAGGCTCCCGTCGTTCCCTTCAAAGAGCCGGTTCTAAGAGTCATTTCGTTGGCGACGGACCCATAACTAGTAAAGAAAGTAGCGCTATTAGCCTTTAGCCGTAAATACGTGCGCGCCGCGGTAATTAATTATATGCGCAAATGTCATAATTCACACGTCTGTTCACAGCTCATTTACATATCAGTGCAGGTCCAGTAACAAATATACGAACAATATAATCACTTTAACAGACCAATAGAAAACAGTGTGTTTATGTGCGGAGCTACAGCAGCTAACCCATAACAAATGACAAAAACTAGCTTCAGAGTCGACATATTTCCAACACTCACCGCTCACACAGGCTCCTCCCACATCACACAGGCTCCTCCCACATCACAAATCTGCACTAATAAATGTCCTTTTAATCCAGACTCAAACCGATTGTCCGTAAAAAGAAAATAATCTCAGTGTTTGGATCTGAGTCTGCAGGTGTAAACAAACACACGTGAGTGACGTGACTCTGTGGTGTGTTCAGGGACAGTACGACACAGACAAATGACTCCGTAGATAAATACTGATGTGGAGCCACATATGAGGACATTTATCTGTCTGTAAATTGGATTAAATGAACAGAATGTAGAGAGTCTAAGATTTATAACGAAGTATAACATGCCCACGTGAAATATCGGCCCCTATCAGCAAGTATATCGGCCGATAGCCGATATGCCTAAAGTTGCCCATATCAGCCGATAATATCGGCCAACCGATATATCGGTCGGGCTCTAGACTAAACCAGGACTAAACCAGGACAGGCAGGTCGAAAACTGAACCAGAGTAGGATAAGGACTGGGCCTGGAGTAAACCTGATTTAAAACAGTTCTAAAACCAGTCCAGTCCAAACCTAGACCAAGTGTAAACCAGGTCTAAACCAGGTCTGGACCAGGTCTAAACCAGGTCTAAACCAGGTCAAAAACAGGTCTAAATCAGGTCTGGACCAGATCTAAACCAGGTCTAAACCAAATCTAAACCAGGTCTAAACCAAATCCAGGCTGTCTGTTCTAAAAATGTAAACCTGCTCTGTACTAAATGTAAACCAACTGTTCTAAAGGTTCTGACCTCAGTCCGGTCTAAAGCTGGTCCGGTCTAAAGCCAGTCCAGGCTAACGTTGGTCTAACGCTGGTCTAAAGCCGGGCCGATCTAGAGCCTGTCTAAACTCGGTCTAAACTCGGTCTGTAGTCCGTCTAAAGCTGGTCTAAAGCTGGTCTGGTCCCGGTCTGGTCCCGGTCTGGTCCCGGTCCGGTCCAGGTCGGTACCTTCAGGTCCCTCCTCTCCAGCGACAGCAGCTCGGCTCCTCTCACGTCGTGTCCACTGAAGATCTCCCTGTACTCAGACAGAGCCAGAGCCTCCAGCCACGCCCCCACCTCCTCCGTCCCCCACAGGTGCACTGCAACAGGAAGTGATGTCACCAGGTGAGACACAGACACACAGAGCCACGCCCCCACCTCCTCCGTCCCCCACAGGTGCACTGCAACAGGAAGTGATGTCACCAGGTGAGACAGAGAGACACGCCCCCAGCAGGACAGAGTCAAACACAGACACACAAAGAGTCTGTCCTGATTCTGAGAGCCATGTTTAAAAAGATGGGGGCAGGCAGGGGCAGGCAGGGGCAGACAGGGGCAGACAGGGGCAGACAGGGACAGGCAGGGGCAGACAGGGGCAGACAGGGGCAGACAGGGACAGACAGGGGCAGACAGGGGCAGACAGGGGCAGACAGGGGCAGACAGGGACAGACAGGGGCAGTTCTCTGTGTAACTGAGGTGAGTTTGGTCCAGAGTTTGTCTCAGTGAAGGACGTGTCTCTGTGCAGAGACACAACTGAACATTCTGATCTGGGACAGGTGTTGGCAGGTGTCGTGGCAGGTGTCGTGGCAGGTGTCGTGGCAGGTGTCGGCAGGTGTCGGCAGGTGGTACCTGGCAGGGCGAGGCAGGCGCTGGTCTCTTTGTTCTTGTTGTTCTTTTCCTTCTTAAATTTGGGGACGAGGCGAAACTTGGCCGAGCGCCCCCTTTTGGAGAAGTCCGACAGAGCGCCCTGAAGTACACAGAGTAACATGAAGTACTGCACAGTAACATGAAGTACACAGAGTAACATGAAGTACTGCGCAGTAACATGAAGTACACAGAGTAACATGAAGTACTGCGCAGTAACATGAAGTACACAGAGTAACATGAAGTACACACAGTAACATGAAGTACTACGCAGTAACATGAAGTACTACACAGTAACATGAAGTACTACGCAGTAACATGAAGTACTACACAGTAACATGAAGTACTACACAGTAACATGAAGTACTACGCAGTAACATGAAGTACTACACAGTAACATGAAGTACTGAGCAGTAACATAAAGTACTACACAGTAACAGTAAAACATGTAGTACTTTCAAGAACAATAGTAGTAATACTATGGGGCCAAAAGGAGCAGTAGTGGTAGTACTCGTAGTACTTGTAGTACTTGTAGTACTCGTAGTACTTGTAGTACTTGTAGTACTTGTAGTACTTGTAGTACTCGTGTAGTACTAGTACTTGTAGTACTTGTAGTACTTGTAGTACTCGTAGTACTTGTAGTACTTGTAGTACTCGTAGTAGTACTTGTAGTACTTGTAGTACTCGTAGTACTTGTAGTACTTGTAGTACTCGTAACACTTGTAGTACTTGTAGTACTTGTAGTACTCGTAGTACTCGTAGTACTTGTAGTAGTAGCTGTAGTTACCTCGGCGTCCGTGGGCTCGATGAGGGGGAGGAGCCAGGACACGTCTGACAGACGCCGAATCTGAGACGAAAGCGACGCCAACGCAGACGACAACTGCTCCTGATGAGAGCGTTCCAACTGCTGCCAACACAACCAGAACCAGAACTAGAACTAGAACCAGAACTAGAACTAAACCAGAACCAGAACTAGAACCAGAACTAGAACTAAACCAGAACCAGAACTAGAACTAAACTAGAACCAGAACTAGAACTAAACCAGAACCAGAACTAGAACTAGAACTAGAACTAGAACCAGAACTAGAACTAGAACTAGAACTAAACTAGAACTAGAACTAGAACCAGAACCAGAACTAGAACTAGAACCAGAACTAGAACTAAACCAGAACCAGAACTAGAACTAAACTAGAACCAGAACTAGAACTAAACCAGAACCAGAACTAGAACTAGAACCAGAACCAGAACTAGAACTAAACCAGAACCAGAACTAGAACTAAACTAGAACCAGAACTAGAACCAGAACCAGAACTAGAACAGAACTAGAACCAGAACTAGAACTAAACTAGAACCAGAACTAGAACCAGAACTAGAACTAAACAGAACAAACCAGAACCAGAACTAGAACTAAACCAGAACCAGAACTAGAACCAGAACTAGAACTAAACCAGAACCAGAACCAGAACCAGAACTAGAACTAGAACCAGAACTAGAACCAGAACTAGAACTAAACCAGAACCAGAACTAGAACTAAACCAGAACCAGAACTAAACCAGAACCAGAACTAGAACCAGAACTAGAACTAAACCAGAACCAGAACTAGAACCAGAACTAGAACTAAACCAGAACCAGAACTAGAACCAGAACTAGAACTAAACCAGAACCAGAACTAGAACTAAACCAGAACCAGAACTAGAACTAAACCAGGACTGAACCAGGACTGAACCAGACTAACCAGACTAACAGGACTGAACCAGACTAAACCAGGACTGAACCAGGACTGAACCAGGACTGAACCAAGACTAAACCAGGACTAAACCAGGACTAAACCAGGACTGAACCAGGACTGAACCAGGACTAAACCAGGACTGAACCAGGACTAAACCAGGACTGAACCAGGACTAAACCAGGACTAAACCAGACTAAACCAGGACTGAACCAGGACTGAACAGGACTAAACCAGGACTAAACCAGGACTGAACCAGGACTAAACCAGGACTAAACCAGGACTGAACCAC